AGCAGAACAGGCAGATTGATCGAAATGCACTGCTGAGGGGAGCAGCGGGCGGTCAGGAGAGGTCTGCTGCGCCCTCTGGGTCAGCTCCCTGGCTGGGGATGGAACTCGGGCCACAGTGGCTACGACAGCTTCACAGCGCTGTGCTTTTTTGCGCCACCAGGAAGATCCAGTCCTTCCTTTCTGTATCAGCTCTTCCGAGGTGGACTGACCACCAAGCCGGGAAAGGTCCTGGTCCCTCGGGTCAGCAAGGCCTGGCCGCGACTGGCTTGACGCCTTGCAGTGATTTGTTAGAGACTGGCGGTCAGCACCGCTCCCCTCCCCCATCCCGAGGGTTCCTCCCCATGGGGGAGGGGATGCTGTGGCTCCCTGTACACAGACTGGACCTGCCTCTGGGGAAGGAAGGACAGAGCTCTGGGTATGAGTCAGAGAGGCCAGGGGCTGCCCTTCCATGGAGGTTCGGGCTCTTCCTCCTGGAAACCGGAGCGCAGAGGCTGTTTCCTGTTACAGGGCTGCGGCAGGAGCAGGCACCGGCTGGGACCCTGGGGCATCCCACTGTGGGCACCTGCCCAGGTTCAACCTTGGGGGCCCACCCGTGACTCAGCCCCCACAGAACCCACAAAACAGCATGTGGCGCCTCTGAGCTTTCCTTGGCCCTAAAACCAACTCATGTAGTAGAGCGTAAGTGCTGTCCTCACGCTTCAAGGCTGGAAGTGGGTTTGGAGAGCCTGGCTGAGATTAGCCAGCAGGTCCTGGTCAGTCTGGGTCAGGCGCCAGCTCAGATTCTTGGTCTGGTGCTCCTGTCACACGGTAAGTGACCTCCCATGGAGCTCCCCCAGCTGGGCGGGGTGCGGCTGGGGCTCTCAGTGGAGCGTAAAGGAAACCGCAGGTCAGAGAGGTGCCGGTTGGCTTGCAGAGGAAAAGGAAAGGGATTGTTTGCTACATCTCTGGGGCCGGACACCCACAGGCCTGCCGGGGTGGGCACTGTGACTCTCTGGGGACGTTCCATCCGACCACACCGTGGACGCGGGCTCCTTCCCTGGCTCAGCGCACAGCCCAGCTGGCTCAGCCGAGGTCAGCTCCTGGCACCCACGACCCACACCAGTGTGCAGTCGCTCCTCAGGGCTAACTGGGCACAGCCCCCACCTCAGCAGGAGGAGGCTTGTCCGTGTCCTTCTTGGCCACTAGCCCCACCCAGGAAGGGGGCAGCTTTTCCAGCTCCTGGGCCAGCACATTTCTGCAGAGTGGCTGTGTGTTGGTTCTTCTTGGAGACCCCAGAAGTGGGGTGAAGAGGCCTGCGGGCAGCCATCATCCTATTGACACCACGTGTTTTATTTTTAAATTTTTAAAAGATTAATTGATGTACGCAAGAGCTGGGGTACAGGCCAGAGGTGTGGGGGGGGGGTTTGAGAGGATTCACGGAAGACAGAGTGGGGAGCAGAACAGGCAGATCAAGGAAGTCCACTGCTGAGGGGAGCAGCGGGCGGGTCAGGAGAGGTCTGCGGTGCCCTGTGGGTCAGCTCCCTGGCTGGGCTCGAGCTCATGGGGCACTGGCTACAGCTTCATAGTGCCGCACTTTGGCCTGATGCACCACCCCGGCTCTCCCTGTTTTAAAGACCAATTTCTTCCCCAGGCTGGGCCGGAGGGGCCAGCGAGCCAGATGCGCCCACCCTGCAGAGACCGACAAGCCCTCCCCTCCCCTCAGGGCCCTGGAGGGCTGCGCCCTATTCGGCAGCACCCCATTGCTTCCGTTTGTTGGGCCCTCACCCCAGCTCAGCTGTAGCTGGCTTCCTTATCACAGTCCTGGCTTGAACCCAGCAGGTTTCTAATTTTTCACCCCTGATCATGTAGCTGGGTTCTGAGCCCAGACATCGTTTCCTTGCTCTCAAGACCCTTCCCATCCAACCTCCCCCTCCCCCAGAACATTGCCCCCCCAAATCTGTGCAGCTAGATCTCGGGCCTGGCCCTGGTTTTGTGGGAAGAGTCCACCCTCGGCCTGGACTCAGAGCAGCTTGGGGGGGACACTGCTGCCGCTGGCCCTCTTCCTGGGGTGTGCAGCAACGCCCGGGGCAGCAGAGGGGTTTCTCACGCGCTGGCAGTGACATTTTTTCAACCAAAGCAAATAAACAGGGGGGCAGACACGAGGATCATGGGGAGGGGCAGCAGAGGAACCCCAAGATGAGCAGGGGGTCCGCCATCAGCCTGGGCGGACAGGGGCTTCAGGAAGGAAGGTGTCCCCGCAGCCCTTGTTTCGGGGCACCCCGTTTCCCTCCGAAGGTGCGGATTTGTTCACGGAGGGGACAAATGATTCTCTTCCACGCAGAAGAAAAAAATAACCACTGACTTTATTTTGGCTGTTGGCCACAAGAGAGCAAACAGCTGAAGGGTGAGTGTGCCCACCACCTCACAGAGGCCATCGCCATGTCCCCCCTTGCTTCCACGATGGGCTCCCAAAGCCACCGCCAGGCGCGAAGCCCACCCACCACCCCAGGCACACCCTGCAGGGCACTCGTGTCTTCCGCCTTCTTCCAAGGACCCTCCCACAGGAGAAGCGGGCAGGGCCCGGACACGCCGGGTCTGCGGACTCCAGCTCCTCCGGGCTGCGGGCGAGGCGGCGAGAGCCAGGGCCCGGCAGCTGAGTGCTGGTTTGTTCCCACGTAAGGCACCAAGGGCTGGTCGGATGCAGCCGTCCAGTCCCAGACACGCTCCCCCCGCGCCCGCCCGCTGCCGCCACCCACGTCTGCACAGGTGGTTAAGAACCGTCGAAACTGTTCCTAAGGACCATTTGATGAAAACGTGAAACATTACTGGAGCCAGAAATGTCATTCAGCCCCGAGATGAGACGTTCCTAGGAGAGTCTGGCCCTGGTTGCATTTTAAAACGGTATTTGATCATCCTTTAAGAACATAAAAAAAGTTATATAAAACGCAGCTGGTGGAGGGAGCGGCCGGCTGCCGGCACTCAGGCACGCTGTCTCGTCTTGGCTCCTGGAAAGACCTGGCAGACCCGGCTGCCACAGACCAGGCGAGAGCCCGACGTGTTGGCCAGCAGCTGTCTCTCAAGAAAGCCTCATTCTCCTCACCGCGCCCTGCTGTGCCGGCTACCGGGGTGCGTGAGAGGGGCCCTTGTGGCTCTGACACACGCACCCGAACTCGAGGACATTCCCCAAGGTAAACCCCGCATCCTCGACCATGCCTGGAGGACCCGGAGCCAAACCTGTGCCCAGACCCCTGCCGGGGGAACAGCCTGGAGCCCCCCCAAGGCTGTGGCTGGGGGGCCAGAGGGCGGGGTCAAGGTGGGGAGGAAAAGACTGGGGTGTCCCCTGGAGTGGGGAGCTGGCTTGCTCCCAGGGAGGCCCTGAGCGCTGCCAGGCCCACACGGCCCAGCCTCCCAGGCGCACCCGCCAGCAGCCGCCTGTCTGAGGTTCAGGAAACTGTCTGTGGTGACCTGTGTCCAGTACGTGAGTTCATGAGGAAGCGAACTCAGCCGAGCACTCGAAGGGATTAAAATGGACCCACGACTCAGCTGGTGCCACGCAGTGGGGCGCCTCTGCCTCCTTCCTCTGAGGGCTTTTACCTTCACGGCGGAATCAGTCCCATCATGGCCATGGCGTGAGCGACACAGGCCCTGACTCAAAACCCCTTTGATGCGCTGCCCTCACGGGAGCCTGTGTGTGTGTGTCCAGCCGTGGAGGCCCTGACCCGTTCAGTGGTCGCCTCAGACTGCCCCTGCAGTGG